GATCTCATTCCTCCAATACACAGAAGATCTCAGTCCTCCAATACACAGAAGATCTCATTCTTCCAATACACAGAAGATCTCTATCCTCCAATACACAGAAGATCTCTGTCCTCCAATACACAGAAGATCTCAGTCCTCCAATACACAGAAGATCTCTATCCTCCAATACACAGAAGATTTCATTCTTCCAATACACAGAAGATCTTTGTCCTCCAATACACAGAAGATCTCACTCTTCCAATACACAGAAGATCTTTGTCCTCCAATACACAGAAGATCTCAGTCCTCCAATACACAGAAGATCCCAGTCCTCCAATACATTTTTTTCAACGTAATATTTTCTATTCTAATTGCAGTCAACGAAAGAGAAAATAACATTACAGAAAAAATTCAAGTTCTTTGAACTTTAAGTAACGTTTGATCCCGAACGTTAATGACATATTCTAGATATTTGTTAAGCACTTTATAATAATTACAATAATAATACGTGTTAATTAGAGCTAAACATAGAAAATCATGAGATATATTTTAAGTTCGAATTCATTTAACTGAAAGAAAATTTCACGCCTCTAACAATTGTCTGAATCTTCAGAGGATTTTAGTTACCAATCGTCAGATAGATAATATTCCTCAAAAGAGATCTTTCGACATCTCATGTCGAAATGGTCCTAGTTTAGAAACCCGAAAGAATAAAACGTGTTCGTTTTGACCGGTGTAGTTTATTACTATTCGTGCATCTTACAACTTTTTTACTTCAATGACATCATAAGTTGACAAACAACAGTTAATAAGTATAATGAAGTAATTTATTTTGGAGGTAACATATTACGTGTTCCAAAATAACTTTGGCCTCTCTTATAACCCCTGAAGAAGAAGACCAACGTTCTTTCGAAACATGTAGTATGTTCCCCCCCCCCAAAATAAATCACTTTTTTATGTTTATAAATCGTTGTTTATCGATTTAATATTGCATTAGCATAATGTGTTTCATTACTAAAGCACTTGAAAGTTAAAGAAATCGTGGCTGTTTTATTCTTTCCTTAGACAAAGCGACGTTGGTTCGCCATCTCGTTTATCGGTAGCATTTGCTGGATAGCTTTTTTCTCGTACCTGATGGTTTGGTGGGCTTCTCTGACTGGTCAAACTGCAGGGATACCGAACGAGGTACGATATGGTGTCTTGCCTTAAAAACAAAACAAAAAACTTTAGATTTAATTTCTGGAAAGTCTTTATTATTTATTTTATTACGCACAAAAAATATCATAGTACATCTATAAAACACTCCAAAGAACTCTTAACAAAACTGGAGATTTGTGGACTTCAACATATCTACCCCAATTGGTGACGTGTTTTTTGTTTGTTTGTTAAATTTCGTCCAAAGTAACATGACGGCTACCAGCGCTCGAATAGCTTTGTTTTGAAGTGATAGACTAGAGGGAAGGCAGCTAATCAACACCACCCACTGCCAAGTCTAATCGAGTAGTGGGATTGACCATCACATCACAACGCCATCAGGCCATGCTAGGCCCCATTATTTTGTTAGCTTGATTTTACCACATGGTTTAATGATCCAGTTTCAATTACTAGCAAAGTTATCGTCTAATTGTTGTTGTTTTTTTCTAGATAAGTTAACTACTCTTGATAAATTGACAGGCCAGCAGATCCAGTTTCTTTACCAAAGACATAATTAACCATACACACAAACACATATAACAAACCTCGGCTAGGCCCTTACAATCCACTGTGTGGAGCATGCGTAAAATGTTACTATTATGTTACTGTTTAATTCGGGGGTATTTAAGTTAGTTTCGTGAAAATTGCAATTAATATATGGTTATGGTGAGTATTTTACACACACACACACACACACATATATACCTATAAACGGAACTGTAACAGCTATAATGTGAAGGTTATGGTGAGTATTTCACACACACATATACCTATAAACGGAACTGTAACAGCTATAATGTGAAGGTTATGGTGAGTATTTCACACACACATATACCTATAAACGGAACTGTAACAGCTATAATGTGAAGGTTATGGTGAGTATTTCACACACACATACCTATAAACGGAACTGTAACAGCTATAATGTGAAGGTTATGGTGAGTATTTCACACACATACCTATAAACGGAACTGTAACAGCTATAATGTGAAGGTTATGGTGAGTATTTCACACACACATACCTATAAACGGAACTGTAACAGCTATAATGTGAAGGTTATGGTGAGTATTTCACACACACATACCTATAAACGGAACTGTAACAGCTATAATGTGAATCAGTACAAAGTAGTAAAGAGAACATAATAATACGAAATTCACACGTTGACAAGACAAACAGAAGTGAAAATACATATCAATTATAACAGTAAAAGACATAATGTTTTGTTGCGAATTAGTTTTAGGCCTGGCTTTGTTAATTTGTGTGTTGTGTGCGCTCATTGTAGGTCAAATATTACATACATGGCTACGAACTTAATACACGTATAATACCTATATATTGTTACATGACGCAAATTCTTTCCTCAACTTAATGCATTTTCATTGTTCTGTAACAATCTGTTGCTACGCTCTTATAATTTGGTGTCATGTTTCGACATGTCTGTTGCCATTGGTAATAGACAGCAAGCATGCGCAGTGAAACATTTCTACCAAAAATGATTAATAATCGTATTCAGCTTTAAAATGATAAAATATTCTACTGATTGCTTTGCGTTATATGAACAGAACTGAGTTATTGTAGAACATATCTTTCAGAATTATTACATTTCACTGCGCATGCCTAAAGAAAGTAGTAATAGAAGTGATATTATTTTTTACTTTGGTGATATTTTATTACGGTTCCCTGCCCTAACAAAGAACTTTTTTTTTCTGTTGCGTCTGATTAGTTGTGATGTTCTAAGTTGTTTGTGATGTCCTTGCTATATTAAACTTTGGTTCATTTAAGAAGAACAGTTGTATCAATCACTCTCAATTAATTAACATTATTACGAATGTTCGGAGCTGGAAAACATGGTTCGAATCCGTGCAATACCACAAAATATCCTCTGTACTTTAAGATGAGGGTGTGTTATAAGTGTGACAGTAAATACTTCGATGGTGGGTGGTAATGTGCTGTTAACCGGCAGTTTTCCCTCTGGTCATCGGTTCAAAATTAGGGACGGTGACAGCTAGTCTTAGTAACTTTGCTATAAATACTAAAATTCAAATATAAAAATACCAATTAATGTAAATTTACTGGAAATAGGTGACTAGGCCTATATTACAAAAACGCTATTGGCTGTATAGATACAATTAGATCACGGTTAAAGAACGTAGGATTTATTTATTTGTACTTAATATTTATCAAACAGACTGTATATTATTTCATGTTCAACACAGTAAACTTTAAATTAGCTGTTTTGTTATTGAGCACAGATCCATACTATGGGCTATCTGTGCTGTGCTCACCAATGGTATCGAAACCCGGTTTTTAAAGTTAATGTACGCTTCCGAAAATTCATGATTTAATGAATGAATAACTAATAAAATCGTATTTCTCGTATATATACTAACCATTGTCGTAATTTTGGTATTAATATCGTAATGAGTACACACAAATCATACTGGCTGGTATCACTGTTTGATTGGTTACTTATTTAACTTGTTTCATTGAGAAAATAAAATGTATATTTATTAGGTTATGGGTTTGACATTTCTGGCTGCCGGTACAAGTATCCCCGATTTAATTACCAGCGTATTGGTAGCCCGTAAAGGATTTGGAGATATGGCGGTATCCAGTTCTATTGGAAGTAATATATTTGATGTAGCTATGGGGTAAGTAATCAAGATTAATCAAATACAAGAAATTTTTAATAAACACACGATAAATAAAGTTATTACTCGTGTATATTTTAAAATCGTTAAAATAGTAAAAAAATATGGCCGTACATAAAAAAAAAATGTGTTTAGGTTTCAGCAAATCAACAGTAAACGATCAGTTTTTACTTTTTTTTAAGTTGCATGATATTATATTTATTAAATAAACAAATATATTTTACTTATATTTAGGATTGTTTTTATTCCTCGTGGTGGCGTTTCATCTGAACACGTTCTTGTATTTTATTATCTGTTTATGAAAAGAAAATGCTATACGCTGAAATAACAACAGTACATAGTAAAACTTTTGTTTATTTTATTCACAACGTTTTAAAAACGTTTACCTGGTATCATCAGGTAGGATACAAGAACTGAGGCTAACCGACAATTCTGATGATGTCAGGTAAACCTGGTGAATAAAATAAACAAAAGTTTTACTATGTACAACCGATAAAAACCTGTATGAACTTTAAATAACATGCGTATTTCTAATATTTAATTCAT